GTGCTTATTTCACTGCATCATTTCTTTTATACACAGAGAAGACAGAGGGGAGGAAAAAGGGAATACACTTTTAACTAAAAGAGTTGACAATTTTATTTTCACATTTCCCAATACAAATGAAAACTGCATCTTTTTTGCCCCACCTCTCCCCTCCAAAACTATTCTCTTTGATCAGACAGGGGAGCAAGTCTTCCTTATGCTGTTTAGAAAACCCAGCATCACAGCAGCATGATCTCCTGGTGAAGCAGAACAGGTAATATAAAACTGATAGAATGAGGCCTCCCCTCTATCCTTATCTGTCTGGTCGAGTCATTCCAGGCCGAGTGGGCACCATCATGGGACGGGCAGGAGGTCTCATCATTGGGGGCCCAGGCATCATTGGCATATGGCCTCCCATAGGTGGCCTCATTCCAGGAGCTGCAGGATAAAACAAAGAAGATGGAAAAAAGGGAATCAGAAAACACCATTTAGGGAGAGTTTTATGGGACTTCAATTAAAAACAAAAACGTAGCCCCCCCCTTGCAAAATGCTGGAAAAAAGACATACGTGACAGAAGAAATGTAACAAATTTATCACATCTGTAAATTACTTAGACATTCTCAAACAAAAAACAAAAAGGTCAACACAAGAATCATATGGGAATCATGATGTAATGACAGTAAGGGGGAAACTACTAACAGACTGCTTTCCAGAAATCACCAGGGACACTAGTTCCCTAAACTGACCTTTTTTTCTTACTCAGGGAAATTCACAACTAAGTCACAGGTTTTTCAGTCAGCTCTTTTAATCAGTTATATCCACTATATAACCAGGAGCTATTTCATGAATGTACACAGGCACAGAGGACAATCTTACCACTAAGCGTTTGTTCGGAGTTGTAGGAAAGGTGAGCAGGAGGCCCATGCTGAGAACCTGTTAGTAACCATACTTAGCTCAAGTCAATAAAAATAATAGGCAATAACGTGATTTATAACAATTAGTGCACATAAAAATCTGATTTTTCTAATGCATTTCAGAAACTATTAATGAATGTTTTTAAGTGTCCCATCAATAAACCAGCCAAATAAATAAGCCAGGGAGGGGAAAGCAAGCAGAGGGGTAGGGGAGGAACACAGGCAGTTTCAATGGAATTGATAATGTTCTACTTCTCAGCTGGGTGGTGGGTTCATGGATATTCATTTTACTATTATGCCCCATAATTTCATGTTATTGATATTATTTTTAAATATCAAATTTTACCAATTTATTTTTAACTAAGTAATTTTGAATAAAGGTTTGCAGCAAAGGGTACAAGAGAAAACTATATTCAAACTTGAATATAGCCTTATCACAAATGGTGAAACACAAAAATATGCAAAGACACAAAATCCAACAGGTACAGAATTTAAGACCAATTTAAACAGGAACAGAGAATACTACTAACTTCTAAATACCACATAAAGGCCCATGCTTAACCTATATTTAAGAATTTCTTAGAAGAAATGGACGGACATAAACCAAAGATTAAAAACTGGGCACCTGAAAACTTGTTTTCTTTGGTCTCCATAGCGAATTTACTTTGAATCAGTTGGTAACATTGGGATTTCATACAGAAGTCTAGATTCCTTTTTCTTTTAAATTTTTTATTATGAAAATGTTCAAACATACACAAGAATAGTAAAGAAGAATATAATGAACATCCATGTATCCATCATCCAGCTTCAACAATTATCCACTCACGGACAACTTTATCTATAATCCCACCCATTCCTACCCCAGTCCAACCTCCAACTACTCAATTATTTTAACACAAATCCCATAATCTTATCATTTTATCCTGGCTTGAAAAAACAGAAAACAAAAAGCAGACTCAGGAGAAAAGGCAACACCAAGCCTTATTCTCAAATGTCAACCATAGGCTGAAGTTGAGTTCCAGAAGCCTTCTTTAGATGAATCATGCATTCCTCAGTTACCGCATCCCTAAAACCTCTAAGAATTTGAATTTGTGACCCTGATTTCAGATGCTAAAGCCACTGAAGTCATTTGATTTTGTTTTGGGCTCACAAGTCAGCAAGGCAGGAACTCTCTTTATCTATACTCTACCCGATACCCACAGCAGATATACTGATAATTCTGGCTAGGAACCCACTCTAATAACTTTGCGGCTTGTATTTCCAGAGTAGTTGGAGGCGTCGGCCACATCTGTTCCCAAACTTGATTCTGTCAGCTGTAGTTATTACTCTAATTATATATATAATTTAAGTTTTCTGCAAACCAATTAAATGAGTGTGAAAAGAGAACAGTTTCTAAAACTAACGATACTTAGATAAATCACCAAAAAATATTCAAAAATTTTGTAGGCGAAATAATAATAAAAGATTGGAACTAGGACTCAGATCACTTGAAAGAAATGAAACTAAAGTTGGTGAAGGATGTGTTACAGTTATGGCTTATTGGTTTATGCAATAAATATATAGTGTTCCAATCATCAGACACACTCTCAAAGCAAAGGTCCTGTTCACATATCAGAAATATTTGCAAATTGATGTATGTTTAAATTTACATTAAAATAAAGTGTTTGAAGCCGAAGTTTTTCCCCCTTCCTAAATAAAAAAACAACTACCAGGCTGAAAGCCTTTTTAATATAATGATGAGGCCAAGTTAATCTGCAAGATTAAATAAGCAACAAGTGGCTCTGCTCCAAATCAAAACTGAGAAAATGTAATGTATCTATAATCTTCCCTCTCCCCTCAAAATGGAACAAGCTTATCTACTCTTCTCTTCACTGTACATAAATGGCCAAAAGCCAGGATGAGGCAAGTAAACAGAAGAGAGGAAATGAAAAACAGAGGCAACCTATCCTGCTTTTAGCAGCACAAGATCACTGGATACCATTCAATTATACTGATAAACCAAGTATTTCTTTTTGTGTAAATTACCGTTACTGACTGACCAAATTTAGTTTGTTACAATAGTACAGGTGGACAGCTAATTAAGAATTCCATTAAGCTGGAAAAAAACACAATGGAGCAACTAGAAAGACAGACATCTAAACTTACCAGGTCCCACTGGCATCATCCCAGGAGGAGGAGGGCCCATCATTGGCATCATGGGAGGGCCCCCCATATGGGGTGCTGGCATCATACCAGGGCGAGGAGGACCCGCTGAAATAAAGAATGGGGCCTGTGGTTAAGGTGTGCTCACATATTAACATTTTCTCTTCTTAATCAAACTAAAAGGATCTCATGAACTCCTTCAAATTTTCATGGTTTCTTTTTATAATAGCAGATCCACAAAAATCACACGCCATAAAACATTGATCTACAAATAAAAAGCAAGAACAAGCCTGCCTAGACAGAAGAACAAAGTTAGATTTACTAGGTTAAGAAAAAACTGAGATTTTAATTAAAAAAAAACAAAACGGGGGGTGGAGAGGTTGTGCCTTCTGTAGAGCTCCTGACAAAAAGCTGATGAACTTAGGCCACAAGTATCTAATTTCAGATGCCTTTGTAAAAAATGAAAACATGGTTTTAAAAGAGTCTTTGGAAATACAAAAACTTATATGCAGGGATATTCCTGACAGTATCATTTACAATAGCTAAAATTTGGAACAACTGAAATATCCAATAAGAAAAGAGTGAGGTAAATTACGGTACATTCACACCACAGACTATTCTGCTATCAAAAATAATCGAGTTGAGTGCTAGTCAGTCAAGGTAGAGTAGGAGAGAGAAGAAACCCTGGAGTTGCTATGGGCTGAGGCCTGACCAGGTCCCAGGATGTCAGGCATCCAGAAAAGGTTTGGCAGGCTATTAGCGGTCCACCTACATTAGTGTGCAACTATTACAAACAGCCTGCTTCCCTGGGTTTATACCCGTGATTGTGTGCAAGATTGAGTCTAGGTCTCTGAATGTGATTTCAGTCTGAACCCTCCCAAAAAAGCCACAGTACAGTACGACCTAGTACAGCACTCAGTCTTCTCTTGTCTGCCACACAGAAACAACAAACTTTCCCAGAAAGCTGGGCCTATGATCCACTCCACTTACCCACTTTCAATGATCTAATTCTTACCTTCTGCTTTGTTTTTTTTTTCCAGACAAAGTCTTGCTGTGTTGCCTAGGCTGGTATGCAGTGGCACAATCTCAGCTAACTGCAACCTATGCCTCCTGAGTTCAAGCAACTCTCCTGCCTTAGCCTCCTGCGTAGCTGGGACTATAGACGTGCACCACCACGCCTGGCTAATTTTTGTATTTTTAGTAGGAACGGGTTTCACCATGTTGGCCAGGCTGGTCTCGAACTCCTGATCGCAAGTGACCCACCAGCCTTGGCCTCCCAAACTGTTGGGATTACAGGTGTGAACCACCACACTCAGCCTAATTCTTATCTTTCATAAGATACAGATTTTGGTGTTAGGTGGGTTAGAAAATAGGGCAAAAGATTAAGGAGTTTATCAGCAATTTCAGTCCTCCAGTGCTGTGTTCATAGCAGTATATAATTTACCCAGCAACTCCTATTCATATATTAGCTCATCTAATCAGAGGTTCATTCTGAGCTTTCTTTCCACTTAAATCTGTCTCAGATTCACACTTGGGATGCCATAAATACAATATCTTAGTGACAATGCAATCAAAAGTTAGCTCTAAAGTTATTTTAGAAATTATACCACTAAAGTTGTTTTCTATTACTACCTGCATCTATATTCAACATTTACATATTGATACATTTATATTACTATCTACATATAAATGCAACAACATTTGAAAGCCAACGGTGAGATAATCTAACATAACCAAAGGATAGCCTGCCCAGTCACACCCCTTAAAAGTTTAAACTTACGAAGACTTGGGGGAGGTGGTATCATCGCCCCTGCAGGAGGAGGAGCAGAGAATGGAGTAGGAGGTATCTTTCCTTGTTGAAATGCAGCCGCTTTGGAGATGAGGGTGAGGAAAAAAAAAAAAGATGAATATGAATTCAACAACCGAATAACTAAAATACCACTTTCTTTTAAGTCTTTAATGGTTCCAATTACTTTACTCTTGCTAGTTTTTTTTTTTTTTTTTAAATCTATTATACTTTAAGTTCTGGGGTACATGTGCAGATTGTGCAGGTTTGTTAACAGGTATACACGTGCCATGGTGGTGGTTTGCTGCATCCGTCACCCCATCATCTACATTAGGTATTTCTCCTAATGTTATCCCTCCCCAATACCCCCACCCCCTGCTATTCCTCCCCCCTAGTATGTGATGTTCCCCTCCCTGTGTCCATGTGTTCTCAATGTTCAACACCCACTTACGAGTGAGAACGTGCTAGTTTTCATCTAAAGCTACTATATCATGGTTCTACAGTTTTAAAATCATTTTCAGGTGTTCACCAGCTAAAATTGCAATTAATTGGTTTGTTGATTTACATTTTCTACTTAGCAGTTCTATGGTTAAATTAAATAAGGGAGACTGGAGTAAAAATTTCCTGTGTATCAATGTCTTTTTTTGAGACAGAGTCTCACTGTCACCCATGCTGGAGTGCAGGGACAATCGCAGCTCATGGTAGCCTCAACCTTCTGGGCTCAGGTGATCCCCTCACTTCATCCTCCTGAGTAGCTACAGGTGCATGGCACCATGCCTGGCTAACTTTTCTACTTTTTGCAGAGATGGGGTTTCTCCCTATTGCCCAGGCTGGTCTCAAACTCCTGAGTTCATATGATCCACCCACCTTGGCGTCCCAGAGTGCTAGGATAATAGACATGAGCCACCACACCTGGCCCTATCAATGTCTTTTACCAAAGAGGAACAATCATCTTTAATTTGTAGATGTGGTTTATAACCAATTCAAGCCATTCATAATTTTGTTTGAAAAAGTGTAATACATGCCCAAAAAGCTAGCCTTTATAAAATTTCCATCCTTCCTATGTATGCTGTCCTAGGTAAAAATAATATGCCATGTTGGTTTACCAGTTTGGAAATCAATGCACTAAACTAGGAGATTTAAAAGAAACAAAGATTTCAAACTATAAGCTTGCCCCAAAAAAGATTATGATTTTTTAAAAGTCTAATACAATCAATTTTTATTTTTTTTCAGATAATGAGGCACAAGAGAAACTGAAGATCATCTATATTTTATTTTGGAAAAGAATCACAAATAAATTTTAAAGTACACACTAATAAAGTCTATTCCTGACATCAGTTCCCGCCAATATAGTGCTGTCTACAGGGCATCCTACTTCACTCCGACCAAGCCAAACGAAGTCATATTACTCAAGTCAATTACTGATGATTCACTGGATCATATCCAAAAAAGTGACCTAGCAGAGATTTATGAATAGCTTATTATCCATATGCCTCTGAATAAAGCCTGTGGATCTCAGAGATTATATCCCAATATGGACTTTTCAATCAAGAAGGCCTCTCTCACATCCTTTGGAGGAGGATGGCTTCCAAAGGCTGAAGTGGGGGAAGCAAAGTTACTGGCTCAGTAGCAGACTGTCAACATAATCACGGATTTCATGAGGTGTGTCCCTGAAGGGCTCCCCCTGTCTTCTCAAAAAGTCCTCCACTAAAAATGTTTATTCTGACTGGCCTTAAAACAAAACAAAAACAAAAACATGTATTCAAGCCGAATGCAGTGGCTCATGCCTGTAATCCTGGCACTTTGGGAGGCTGAGGCAGGAGGATCTCTCGAGCCCCAGAGTTCAAGACTAGCTTGGGCAACATAGTGAGACCCCGTCTCTACAAAAAATAAAGATTAGCTGAGCATGGTGGTGTGCACCTGTAGTCCTAGGTACTTGGGAGGCTGAGGGAGGAGGAATGCTTGAGACCCGGAGTTCAAGGCTACAGTGAGTTATGATTGGGCAACAGAGTAAGACTCTATCTCTAAAAAAATTAAAAATTAAAAAAAAATAAGTTTTTTCATCCTCAACTCTTTTTTTTTTTTTTTTTTTTTTTTTTTTATCACATTTTTTTTTTTTTTTTTTTTTTTTTTTTTTTTTTTTTTTTTTTTTTTTTTTTTTTAAGACAGAGTCTCGCTCTATCACCAGGCTGAAGTACAGTAGCATGATCTTGGCTCACCACAACCTCTGATTCCCTGGTTCAAGCAATTCTCCTGCCTCAGTCTCCCAAGTAGCTGGGAGGCACCCGCCACCATGCCCAGCTAATTTTTGCATTTTTAGTAGAGATGGAGTTTCACCATCTTGGCCAGGCTGGTCTTGAATTCCTGACCTTGTGATCCACCCGCCTCGGCCTCCCAAAGTGCTAGGATTACAGGCGTGAGCCATGGCACCCTGCGAGACTCAGTCTTTAAAAAAAAATGGGGCCAGGAGTGAAATAAATAAATAGATTAAAAAACTGGAATCAGCCATAGTGGCTCATACCTATAATCCCAGCACTTTGGGAGGCCGAGGCAGGCAAATCACTTCAGGTCAGCAGTTCGAGACCAGCCTGGCCAACATGGTATAAAACCCCATTTCTACCAAAAATACAAAAAAGTTAGCTGGATATGGTGGCATGCACCTGTAGTCCCAGCTACTCAGGAAGCTGAGGCAGAAGAATCACTTGAACCCAGGAGGGGGAGGTTGCAGTGAGTCAAGATTGTGCCACTGCACTCCAGCCTGGGCAACAGAACAAGACTCCATCTCAAAAAATAAATAAAATAAATTTAAAAAAATTGGGACAACGTCTGAGATTCACTCCATAATAATCCAGGAAGGAGAAAGGCAGTAGATGACAACATTCAGTGGCTCTCTCAGCCAGAAACAATTTTGCCTCCCAGGGACACTGCACAATGCCTGGAGATATTTTTAGTAGTCACAACTGGAGGTTGGTACTGGCATCTAGTTGGCAGATGCCGGGGATGTTGTCAAACATCCTGTAACTCACAGAAAGACTCCCATAGCAAAGGATCATCCAGGCTTAAATGCCGACAGTATCAAGGTTGAGAAAATTAAAATAAATGCAACAAGAGTGCTACAGTTAAGCGATGGGAAGTGAAGGGTGAGGAAATTCAGAATTGGAAATTCATTAAGCTTGTCTATTTTATTTGAAAATTTTCACAATAGTGTTGCCTTATTATTTATTAAATATTATTGTTTTTCTGAGACAAAGCCTCTCTGTTGCCCAGGCTGGAGTGCAGTGTAGCGGCACAAACTTGGCTCACCGCAACCTCCACCTCCTGAGTTTCAGCGATTCTCCTGCCTCAGCCTCAGTCTCCCAAGTCGCTGGGACTACAGGCATGCCCCACCACGCCTGGCTGAATTTTTTGTATTTTTAGTAGAAATGGGGTTTCACCATGTTGGCCAGGCTTGTCTCAAACTCCTGACCTCAGGTGATCTGACCACCTCCTCCTCCCAAAGTGCTGTGATTACAGGCATGAGCCACCACGCCTGGGCAGTTTTGCCTTTTCATTATTTTTTTTTAATTTTTTTAAATAAAAAAAATTTTTTTTTTGAGACAGAGTCTCACTCTGTCACCCAGGCTGGAGTACAGTAGTGCGACCTCAGCTCACGGTAACATCCACCTTTTGGGTTCAAGCAACTCTCCTGCCTCAGCCTCCTGAGTAGCTGGGATTAGTAGTGTGCAACACCATGCCCTGCTAATTTTTGTATGTTGAGTAGAGACGGGGTTTCCCCATGTTGGCCAGGATGGCCTTCAACTCCTGGCCTCAAGTGATCTACCCATCTCGGCCTCCCAAAGTGCTGGGATTACGGGCATGAGCCACTGCACCCAGGCTTTGCTTTTTCAAAGGCACATCATAAAGCCCATATGGCTGACCAGCTCAGAGTACAATGAATGATTAAGAGAGGCCATGATGCCAAGCACAGTGGCTCACGCCTGTAATCCCGGCACTTTGGGAGGCCAAGATGGGCTGATCACAAATTCAGGAGTTCAAGACCAGCCTGACCAACATGGTGAAACCCATCTCTACTAAAAATACAAAAATTAGTTGGGCATAGTGGCATACGCCCATAATCCCAGCTGCTTGGGAGGCTGAGGTAGGAGAATTGCTTGAGCCCAGGAAGTGGAGGTTGAAGTGAGCTGAGATGGCGCCACTGCACTCCAGCCTGGGCAACAGAGTGAGACTCCATCTCAGGAAAA